ATTCAATTTTAAATTCTTGTTTCTTGTTTATCTACTACAAGGCCGACGGCTAAGCCAATTCCTCGTCTAGGAGGTAACATCATGTTAATTCTTAAATCTGTATCTGGTTTTATTTTATAAAGATATTTCCAGGGAATTACGCTTATTTTTTTCGGAAACTCTAATATTCGTATCATTTGTAAGGGTTAGAAAGGTAATACGATGGCTATACTTATGTATGTGATAGATTTTAGGTAAGATACTGTGATCGTATGACAATTGTCTTTCGAACTGGTGAGAGTTTTGTAATATTGGCGTAGTCAAAAAACAACGATTAAAAAAAGAAAGCAACCCAAGATGCGAACTAAAGTCAAGCAAGTACAAACATTCAAATATCTAAGAATGGTTAGTATTTACAATATATTAGTAAGTTACTTTATATTTTAGCCAAGTATAAAAACCTTAAATATTTGGGAAATGTTTCAAGAGACGACGAGAAACGCGACACCGAAATCCGAACACGCTTTGGACTAGCGAAATATGTATTTTAAAAGCTAAGCAAACTATTAAGAAACGGGAAAATATTGCTAGGAACAAGGCAATGACCACTGAAGACTATATAGCAGTGAATGTTGTACAATTTCACCACAGAGGAAGAAAGGACTTGAATCCACAGAAATATTGTTCTACAGAAGGATGCTGAGAAAAGTATGGACCGAATATGTGAGCAACAAAAAAGTTTTAGATAAAATGAAAACAAAAAGTACATTTATACTTAACACCAGGAAGAAAGCGTTGAAATTTCTAGGGCACATAATGAGGAAAGAGGGATTGGTAAATTTGATACTCACAGGACATTTTGAAAGCAAGGACGACAGAGAAAAACAACGCAGAACAGGTGATAAAATTCGTTAAGAGCTACAAAGGACAGGAAATTGTGGAGAGCCATGATCTCCAACGTCCTGAACTACACAGTACACAAAAGAAGGTACTCTAGTGACATGCCCATACCATTACCACTTCCTCTTCTTGACGGTGTTTAAGTGGTATTCCGATGGGAAGGTTCCTTGCTTTATGTTGTCCCAGACTGCTGCATAATGTTTTACACTATTGTCATTATTGAGGGTTTTTTTTCTAGGCTTAATCGATACAATTCGTGAAACAGAATATCAACCATTCACATATGTATAGACTTTTTACATTGTATTTCAAGAATAAAATCTTACAGCACATACTTGAAATATATTAAGGACAGACTCACATCCACATTCATATATATTTAATATATTTTCTGTTTATATGCTATATATATATATATATATATATATATACAGTTTATTTAAGTTAATGTCCTGTTTTTAATTAAACGGTATTGATTACATTTACCGGCCTGAATGTTCAAGTAATTTTGTAAAAAATTCGCCTTCTCCGACAGCAATCGAACCGATATTCCTATACGGAAACTGTCATTTCATCTGACATGCTATACCATTTAGCTACAGAGAAGCGTCTGGTCAGCAAAGTCCAAGCTGCTGTTTTTAAAGACACAATCTTCGGCGATTTTTCTCAATCGATCATATCTGCTCAAGAAACGTATCTTAACGTAAACAATGACAACATAATACGAAATGGATTAAGTCCTACAATTATTTACTATATTTTCTGTTTATCAAAGATTATGTGTTTAAATACATTATATATATATATATATACATATATATATATATATATATATATATATATATATATATATATATATACTAGACTCTCCCGTCGAATTTGACGTATGAGGGTCAAGCAGATCAGTTCCTAGAAAACTGACAGCCTGACACCAGCACATGAGATTTGTTTATAGTGGTGAAGGCTTCGTGCAGGACCATCCACACTTTTTTTGAAGGGACGAATACAGAGACCTGGTGCAGTAAGTTCCACAAGGTTCCCAAACGACCCTCCGCAGGTTTTGAATTCAGAGTTTTCCTTCTCCTAGACCAGTTTCTACCCAAGGCTATAGAACCCAGTCTGTCCTGCTATTTACCCATAGCTGGAGGGAGAAGAAGAGGATTCACACGTTTCCCAAGGGTATTAGCACATAAGTGAAGGTAATGGATTCGACTGGAATTCGAACATATGGTATATATATATATATATATATATATATATATATATATATATATAATGGCAAGGAATAAGCGGAATGTAAAGGACATAATTATGAAAACTAAGAACTAAAACAAACAACCGGTTTCGTCCCAGTACTCCTCAAGTTTGATACACTGGGATTATTTAATCATAAATTTAAAAACAAAAAAAAACATTCAATGAGGGGGAAAAGGGAAAAAAAAATTATATATGATGTAAAGAACTAGAGCCCAATCAGATTCAAGCCCAACAAGCAATTTCTTTGCTTACAGAGAAACGGCCTGCGGGACTTGATGTATCTGGACTCAAGAACCTTCAAATGATATGCAGAGTGTGACTATATATATATATATATATAGCTTTAAAGCAAGAATTACATATAGCCTTTTCTGTAATAAATCCAAGACAAATCCTTGTATTTAAAATAGGTTATAGAATACCAACCAAATTTTGAAGAAGTTTTATAAATTGAAAACCGTGAAACTGAAACAAGATTTTGTTACGCGTTTCGCCTTTCTAGGATTAATCAGATCGAAAAACAAAAAAATAAATGTGTGTACGTGTATTTGTGTGTATGCTTAAATAATAAGTCATTAGAACTTCCTTTTGAATCTGATGGAGCCTAGAAAGGCAAAATATATATATATATATATATATATATATATATATATATATATATATATATATATATATATATATATATATATATTATATATATATATATATATATATATATATATATATATATATATATATATATATAAATTAAACCTAATATTCTATTTTAAACACACACATAGCAAATAATGTAAATATAAAAGTAAACATTGAAGTCAACACTCAGAAGTCAAATGATTGCGTTTAGCATGAAACAGTCTGTCGCCTCTGAGTGTTGACTTCAGTGTTCCCTTCATATATATATATATATATATAATACTAATAATCTTATAAATATAAGAAATTATACTCGTTCAGAAAAACCTGGGTACTTTGATATACAAATAAACAGACCAATACCCAAGGGGAAAAAGGTACAAAAAAAGAAAGAACAGAGAACATGTACGTCAGCCGAAGACAATCGTCTAGCATCGAAGTTCTGAAGCCAAAGAACAAAACACCGATACGAGTATGTAAAATAACTAAGTAAAGTGCTCAATACGCTAAGTAGAGCAAACCTAATTAAAGTTCCCTGACGATCCGCGTAGGTGAAACCTTGGTAGGTTATCTGGCTTTTTAGGTTTAATGGAGATGTTGGGACAATGTGGAAATGCTTTTAAACAACACGTTTTGCCGACGTCTCATGTATCAGATTCGGCTTCTTTAAATCAGAATACAGGACAAAAAAAACTGTGTGTAGCGAAAATTCTTTTGGGATTTTTAAGGATAAGAGAGGCAATAAATTAAATTACTTTACCAGACTCGACGTCTAAAGACCAGAAAGTGTTTGTTCTATATATTTTTCTTCTGTGGATTCTGAAGGCTTTTCGTTTCGCATTGTGCAGGAAACAATTCGGGTATTGGAAATATTCATAATATACTTCTCTTCTTCGGCCAATAATTGGAGAATAGAGTCTATAACGACTTTAAATAAAATCATATGATTGATCCGAATTTTATTTTATTGTATTGATAGGAGTAGAGCCGTTCACACCGAGTTTAAAGTTCTTTTTCTCTCTTAGCTCGTATATCGCATTGTGCTACTCTTGCAATGATATTATGTATGGTGTTAATCGAAGATTTATTATAAAATCCGGCGTAACCACGCGCTTTTATTTCAGAACCCTAAGAACATGTACCCTCGAATTCCTGTCCAAAGACGATTGATTGATTTGTTTCTTTAACGGCATATCAACTCCTTCATGGGTTATTTAATGCCAAAATTTTCTTGAGAGTTTTAAAGTAATAAAAATATGATATATGTTGTTCTGCTTTCACAATTGAATACATAGTGGATGTTACTCAGCTTTTGTGCATATATATTTATGTGTGGATGTAATTGCTAGAGATGGTGGTATATGTGTTTTATATTGTATTTTTATTGAAGTTATATTTTGGAATAGAGTTTGATTTCATTAAGAAACTGTAGGATTAATGCCATGAAAGAGTTATTTCATGTTGGCTGTCTGGTTGATTCTGTTTAGCGGCATATCAACAACTCTATGGGTTATTTAACCTAAATATTTTGAACCTATTTGTATGCCTTCAACTACAAATAAAATTTATTGTTGGTCATTTTTGCTATAAAACTGTATTGTTTTTTTATTTTCACTATCAATACGTACTGGTATTTTTTTAATATATTATAAAAATATATTGCTGGTATTTTTACTATAAAAATGTATTTTTATACTTTCACAGTATTTGCCCATAGCTGGACCCTAACAGGAGCTATAGGAGCCAGGCGGGTCCTAGCAGCAACAGATGTAAGTGGTTCTACGTTCTTCAAAAACTTCACTCACCTGATCAGAGGCCTTGCTGCCGGGTGTAGTTTAACTTAGTACCCAGGACTAGCCCGAAGAAAAGAAATACACTGAAAATAATCATGACAGGCATACGTTTCTTAAAATGGAAAACGTTACTTCTTGGCATGATAAAACATAATGTGAGACTCAAAAGAAAAAATGACAGATTTTTTTTTTCTGGTCTAAATGAATCTAACAATGGCGTCATCTAGTAAAGGAACACAAAAGAAAAAAATAGATTTAATCAGCTCGAGGTACCAGTCAGGTTGGGTCTTAACTAGATATCAAGTGTTATTTGGTTTCAAAACCAGGGGAAGTGAAATTTCCAAGCCGATATTTAGAATTCTGATCAGCAGGCAAATGTAACACGTTTTGGCTTTTTTTCTGTTTTCGTCTCGCTTTGTAAACCAATTTTGACGCATGAATATAATCAGCAATTATTTCTTCATCTATCTGTTCTCACCTGTTGTTACATATAGCGGCGGCCATCTATCTTTGTCAGTTTATGTATCTATCGATCTACCTACCACCCTGCTCATCTCTAAAGGTATCAACAATTAAGAAGTCTTTCTGCTTACTCTTGCTGTGTAGAAATCTATCTATCTATCTATTTATCTATATATCTATCTATCTGTGTCCACCTATCTCTAGTATATTCTATCTCTCTTCACGTATCTCTAGTATATTCTATCTTCACCTCTCTCTCTACTATATTTTATCTATCTGCTCATCTATCTATCTCAGTCTGTTCAAATCTATCTATCTATCTATCTATCTATCTATCTATCTATCTATCTATCTATCTCAGTCTGTTCAAGTCTATCTATTTCACATCTGTTCAAATCTATCTGTCAATCTCAGTCTGTTCAAATTTATCTATCTGTCTGCCTCAGTCTGTTATTATCTATCTATTTATCTATCTATTTGCATTCATCTCCCTCTAGTGTATTCCGTGTGCATATATATATATATATATATATATATATATATATATATATATTTGTTTCAGTCTGTTCATATCTTTCTACCTATGTTCACCTCTTTCTAGTATATTCCGTGTGCATCTATCTATCTATCTATATATATATATATATATATATATATATATATATAATATTTTTGATTAAAAATATGATTCCTATGAAACGGGACTAAACACCACAATCCAACTTAATTTTAATAATTATTTGGATATTTCGTCTCTCGTTTTTGAAACATGAGAACTCTTATGTAGCGAAGGAATCATATTTTAAACAAAAATCTTATTATAATATAAGCTCTACTTCTGTATGGAGCACTGTCTTCTTAAAAAAAAACAAAAATACTAAGGAACCCCGGATTATGCACCCAACGTGTTCTTTTCTATTTTCTGCATACCTACGCATATATATATATATATATATATATATATATATATATATATATATATATATATATATATATATATATATATATTTCAGACTAAAAACCTAACCACTAGTTAATCCAAGCTTTATCTGTGAAATTGGTTAAACAGAATCGTTTGGACGCCATCGATGGTTGTGCTAGCACGAAGTAACAAGTCATCGTGACCGAGAGCTTGAGCGTGCTCACCTTGGTCAAGAAATTAATCACGCTAGATTATGTACTTTCTCCCAGAAACTGTAATTAAGGCATGCTCAGCATGATTAAGGTAAAAAAAAAACCAAAATGAACGGGCATCCGTCATAGGGCGTATTTTTCAGCGCGCTCACGTCGCTACCAAACGTGATACATGGTCGAGGTTTAAAGTGCGTTTAACTTCAATAAGAATTCCCTAATCCCCCCTGGCACTTCCCTTTTGGGGTCGCCTCAGCCACCGGACAACAAACCCAGTCCCCTCCCGAAGATTTACGGTCTGAAGGAAGATCCCTGTGGGCTTGAGCTTAATGTATTTTGTAACTCCATCGCATTGGTTTTCGCTGATACAAGGTAAGTATAAACGATGTTGTAAGCATAGTTTAGATATGGCACAACTGTGTGGGACGCCTCGTGAGGATCAAATTCACTACTCAAGTCTTAACTGACCTAGGAAAACAAGCTTGTCAACCAATATATCAAGTCGAAGTGCACCTGGTATCTGTAATAGTGATTTGTTAGTCACCCTGGCTAGTAGTCTGCAATTTTATATACGAGCAAAACTTCTGAAAATTTCACAGTTTTTCTATTTTAATCTTCCGGTGAATTTAATTCTAAAATTAACAATTGAATAAATTCATAGTGAGTTCTATGACAATAAAATATCATGTCACATCATTAATTATTTGAGCTTAGCAACTTTAACAAATATTGAAATAACAATCATAAATATGAATTCGGGTTGTTATTTTAAGAAGTAAGGGGGTACAAATGAAGAAAATTGAAATTGGTAACTATTTTCCAATTCCTCGAAAAAGACTTTAAATACTTCTATCTTACTTTCATTCATTTTCTCATTAAAACGAAGTAGCATCTATATATATATATATATATATATATATATATATATATATATATTATTATAAAACGCAGTTTGTGTGTGTGTGTGTGTGTCTGTGTGTGTGTTCGTTTATATATGGGATCGGATTTCCTACATTTTTTCAACCGATTTCAACAAAATTTCACTTTTTTTTTTTGGCAAGTAGTGTTTTATTATTGTCTTTTTGCACACTTTTTTCTTTTATTTTTACATTCAGAATGCTTTAAAAATTCCATTTACAAGACAATTGTTTATAATAAAATTCTATTCAATCGGTAGAGACTCATAATGATTGAAAACAATGTTTTTGTTGGAGTTTGAGTTAGACCAAAAAAAAATAAATAAATAATTAAAACATGCGTGTCCGTCAACCTTAAACAATAATCTTTGTCAATTTTATTTTTCAGTCTTTATGGTGGTCGATACTTGATCTATCTCTTATTGTTACATCCCCAGGCAACGCCGGGCTCGACTGTTAGTATATATATATATATATATATATATATATATATATATATATATATATATATATATAAATTTCAAATTAAAAATAATAATGTTTTTATTTTATAATAAGTATTTATTTTTAATATATTTTGATAAAAAATTGTCCTCAATTTTTGATCAAAAAACTGAGGAGAAAATAAAAAATAATAATAGTAATTTTAATTTATTTGTAACAAACAGTTATTTCTGAAAAAATTGAAAATTTGAAATATCAAATATATTAAATAAATAAATACTTTTTTAAAATGAAACTTTTTCTATATATACATATTAAGAAAGTATACGTATATTCTCATTATGCTATATATATATATATATATATATATATATATATATATATATATATATATATATATATATATATATATATATATATATATATAAGTGTAGGAGAATGGACAGTAAGAGAACGGTTTAGTAATACCGTGATTCCTCACCTGATGAGACGTATTAAAAGGTTTTCCTTTTTTGACGTTGAAACAAAATGTACAAATTTGTAGTTGATATATGCATGTTCTAATGTAACACTACATAATTCTATGTTCCTTATATATATATATATATATATATATATATATATATATATATATATATATATATATATATATACAGACTAATAATGCAATAGCCATGAATTTTCGTAATTGTTTAGATTTGTTGTATATTCTGATAATACCCATTAAGGAAATTCCCAGAAGGCCTTCTAACGAACAAAACTTCCCTTTCTTCAAAAGCTTTGCCATACGTGTCTCCATTTTCCTGCTTTTATATTCTCCTATCTCTTGTTCTTTGTCTGTGTATTTTTCCCTCATCCAATCATCATCATCATCATCATCATCATCATCATCATCATCATCATTAAGTCCGTTCGTGGTCTTCAATCTTCCCGCCGTCAGTGTCCCTCCCCATGTTTACCTCCCCATCTGTCTCTCTCAAGTCCTAATCTATTTTACGAACTTCTACGGCATTTTCTTTGTTCTCACACTTATTATTTGCACGGGGTGGGTATTCTCTCCCTAACTCTCCCTTTACCTCCCCTTCTTCCCCCTACACGTTTTCATCCTTTTCTCTGTGTATGTGTGTGTCTCTTGCTCTCTCTCTCTCTCTCTCTCTCTCTCACCCACTCCTTCTTTATAGTTCCTGCCACCATCACTCTCAAGTAATCCATCTTAATTTGCATTCTCGTTATGTTTCGGTTTGCGGCATTCTTTTTTCCAGGCTCCCTTTTACCATGAAACGTGTGCTCTTTTCTCTATATCGCCCACCCCTCCTAGCCAACCTTTCATTTTTTGTCCTTCTCTCTCTGTTTCCTTCTTTCTCTCAATCGCTGAAAACCTCACTCTTTAGTTTACTTTCATTTTCAATCTTTCACTCTCTAACAATCACATACTCTCTCTTCCACAAGAAGCTCGGTTTTTCCTCTCATTCTCTCTTTCTCTGGGGCTTTCTCCTCCTTCCACCTCCTTTAAGCTATTTTATAACCCTTCCGCTATAGTTGATTGTATTTGCTTCTACAGCCTAATTCCTCTTCGTCTAAGAATTTTCTCTCTTACTTTTATCTTCAGTTCTTTCTCTCTCCCTTATCTATCTATCTATCTATCTATCTATCTATCTATCTATCTATCTATCTATCTATCTGACCCGGTTTATCTATCTATCTATCTATCTATCTATCTATCTATCTATCTGACCCGGTTTATCTATCTATCTATCTATCTATCTATCTATCTATCTATCTATCTATCTATCTATCTGACCTATTTATCTATCTATTTATCTATCTATCTATCTATCTATCTGACCCGGTTTATCTATCTATCTATCTATCTATCTATCTATCTATCTATCTATCTATCTATCTGACCCGGTTTATCTATCTATCTATCTATCTATCTATCTATCTATCTATCTATCTATCTGACCCGGTTTATTTATCTACCTATCTATCTATCTATCTATCTATCTATCTGATCCGGTTTATCTATCTATCTATCTATCTATCTATCTATCTATCTATGTCTCTTCAAATCTATCTCACTCTCTTCATGTATATCTATCTATTTTCGTCAGTTTTTATCTATCTATCTATCTATCTATCTATCTATCTCTTTTCGTCAGTTCCTATCTATCTCTTTTCGTCTGTTCATATCTATCTATCTTCCTCAGTTCACATCTATCTTCATCAGCCAATATCTGTCTATGCTCCTCAGTTCATATCTATCTTCATCATCTCATATCTATCTATCTTCGTCAGTTCATATCTATCTTAATCAGTTCATATCTATCTGTCTTAGTTCATATCTATCTATCTTTCAAAAGTTGCTGGTAATAAAACAGTGCTCGATATGGAATTTATCCGACTAAAAAATCATCATTTATCCTTAACATTTCGTACGATTCTTTCAATTTGTGTTTGACGATTTTCCCGTGCATGGAACTCAGAGTTGGATGAATCTAATGATGATAACGAAAGTTCGACACCTCGGAAAAGTCACTCTGATCGTTCTCATAAGAAAGGAATTCCGGATTTCTTGGTGAAGGCTTCAGACTCAACATGAAGGCCTTCACCGAGTGCCTTAAGTAGGTAGTGCTGACATGGGTCAAGAAGGTACCTGCTGGAAGGCCCTATGTCTGGCAACGGGACTCTGCGCCATGCCACACAAGCAGGAGAACCTAGTCATGGCTGTCAGGCAATTTCTTCGACCACATCACTCGTTACACCTTACACCCCAGACTGCAAGCCCCTTGATTATTATGTATGGGGCGCATTTGAACGAGAAGCCACAAAAACTCTTTGTAAGACTAAGAATGAACTGCAGGCAAAGATCATGGCAGCATTCAACAACTTAAACAAGGAAATTGTCCAGAAAAGATGCTGGAGATTCCGAAGTCGTTCGGAGGCTGGGAATGAAGCCAATGGCGATTTCATTGAATAAATTTACTCTTTAGTATTACAAGATATTTTGGGGTAATTTATTAAATACTTCTGTTAAAATGAGATGGCAGTGTTATTTTCATTTTTGCGTAATTTAGACGACAACATATGCATTGCACACAGCACACACATTATTATATATATATATATATATATATATATATATATATATATATATATATATATATATATATATATAAAATAAAACTCAAACACTAATATCCCATGGAATATTAGTGTTTGAGCCTTTTATATTATATCCTTACTCTGTCCTGGACATTGAGTTCTACCTGGGTTCTATCCTCTTTGGAATTGATATATTGGATTTAAAGACTTCAAGAAGCGATTTTCCAAGCGGAACTTAGATGTGGCACAAGGCCGAAAGTATGGGGCACCTAGTGAGGATCGATAATAACTTCATCTGATTCAGTCATTATATTTCAGATACAATATTGTCCGGTCTTGTTCAAGTGTCTTCCAAATTCCTTTTTCTTCAAGGAACGTTGAATGTCTTGTAAGGTTTTCCTTTTATTTTCTTACCACCAATTAAAATATTTCTACAATCTCAACCACAAAAGGCTTGTTGTATTAGAAACTATACAAGTTATGAAACTGATATCAATATTGATACCATTTCAGCTGGCGGGCTAAAATCACGTGAGAGTGTGAAGCTAACACGACACCACTGGACGAACGGCCTCCCCTATGCAGGTCCCCGGGGGGAGCAGAAGGGCACTTCAGATGAACTATAACGGCTGCATGTTCACGACCAAGGCGAACCACCTAGTTGGAAGACATCGGCGAAATTAAAAATATAAAATGAAGGTAACTGACCACAGTACCCTGTATTTCAACATAAATCTGTTAAAATGAGATGCCAGTGTTATTTTCATTATTGCGTTTCATTTAGACCAGAATTTGTCCATCGCAACCAGTACATCTGTTAAAATCAGACGTGAGTGTGGCACCATTTAACGAGGCAGAAAAAGAAAAGAAAGAAAAGAAGGAAAGGAGAGGCTAAGACCCAAAGCGTGGATGATAAGCAGAACACCACGGCTAAGAGACAATGAATAAAGGATATTTTGATAAGTAACAAATGGGGAAAGAGTGTCATTACAATGACAGGGAAATTCTGAGTGGATAAGGGAATCGGGTGTGTTTTGGAGACGGCTGTGTTATCTGGGATACGTAAACAAACTGCTGGCCGACTTGCCAAAGAAAAATCTAAATGAAAATGTTATTTCAATAAGTGACGGAAAACAGGTGGACTAAAGGGCTTTGGATAGATATGAAAAATTAAAAGCCGCACACGATGTGTCCACTGACCGATTTTTTTCGACGGAACATCTTTAGCCTGCGATAATAAAATTATGTTATCAGAAATGTGTACCGAAAGGAAATGAATGGGAACTTAGAAATGTTCTTTTCGGGGCGACGTTTGGTCGTGTTAAAAAGACACCCATTCTGATAATTAGCAATAAGTACTGACGAAGCCCAGGTGTAGAACAAGGGTTATGACCACCGTCTTGTCCTGTTTGCGGCTAGAGAAAATGATAACTGCGATTAAGAGGAAGAAAAGGAAAAGAAAAGATAATTTTTGTTTTAGTTAAGCAAGATATTTTTTTTCCTGAAACAAAGCCGCAGATTCGTCCACGCCCGACTAAGACATCATTGGTCGAGTGGTGATCACGTGACGCACGAAGGAAGCTGTCGCCGCCCATCCAGAGGATAGGTATGAGAAGCTGCTACGAAGAAGTATGGAGAGAAGGTGGGAGTAAGAAAAGGTTCCCAAAAATGGAAAAGAGTGGAAAATTCCTAACCAGAAATAAAAGAGATGGATATGCATTTAGAATTATCGAGGAACGCCCGACGCCGACAAACCCACCCGGTTTTTGTCGGCGTCCATATAAGCCACAGCGAGCAGAAATCAGTTAAGTTTCAGTTGAGTTGAGTTCGAGTTGAGTTCGAGACAGTTCCCAGAGTCAGTCTCCAGTTGAAGCAAGCCTCGCAGATAGCTGACTTGCAAGATTCACGCAAATTCCGGACTCCTCTTCAATCCAAGAACAATTTTTTTGAATAGCGACTTCGATCCAGACCACCAAAATAAGTTTTTTTTCGACTTTCGTCCGAAGACACACCGAAAAACCAATTTCTTAAAGAGCAAACAACTTGAAGCGTTAAAACTCGCCTAACGGAAAACAACGTGTCACAATTCATAGAACGGGTCGGGAGATAGACGCGGTTCTATGTATCGAACAACTAGACATAAAGTTTGTTATCTTTTTCTTTGATACCTCGAACATTTGAGTTTTCATTTTATTTTCTTTTATGCATATTTGTGTGGTGTCACCCCCGTTGAACCCGATTTGCATTACGGCCCCAACTACTGATTGATCTCGTCTGCCTAAGATCAATTCACAACGTGGGTAGGCAGACTGAGATCAATGCAGTTACTTTGGTAACCAGGCGTTGGAAGTGAGTTTGGAACGACGAGGCTGATATCAAATCTAACCAGATTCCCACCCGAGTCACCAAAAGGTAAGAACGTCACATTTGGGTGCCGCGACCGATACCAAGCCAGTTGGTCGTCACATGACGAGACAACACGACTGACGCGACAGGCGGACGTCACGTTTGGAGCGGCGACACCCGAACGGAGCAGCGAGGAGCGAACAGCTGGCGCCGCGGCGAGAACGTCACAGTTGGTGCCGTGGTAGACCAGGATAGGACGTCACAGTTGTCGCTACGACCAGGGGACGACGTCACATAAGTGTTATTTTCATTATTGCATTTCATTTAGACGACAATTTGTCCATCGCAAAGTATGAGGATCGAACTCCCTACTTAGTCGTAATTGTTCTAGCAATACTTGCTTGCTAATCATTACACCACCCCTAGGTGCCCTAACTCTGCATTTTATATTCTCTAAAGATTTTTTGGCGGAAGGACTCTTCAGATGAAGTACAACGGCCACGTGTTCACGACCAAGACGAGCCACCAAGTTGGAAGACATCGGTTGGTGGCATAACTCGCCAGGTTAAAATGCCCAAGACACGCCACGTGGTGAGCCTGTTAATACACTATTAGCGGATACCCAGGTTCTGGCACGCAACTGCGACATATGGAGGAAAATGGAAAATGGAAAATTAAGGGAATAATAATAATAATAATAATAATATCACTAATAATAATAAAATAGAAAGAAACTGGTATGAACACCACCCAGACCCGGTTACGGAGATAGGACCTGTTACAATTCTATGGGTCTACACAATACACACTGACAGAACAATCAAAGCCAACCTCCCAGATATTGTTATTAAAGACCACAAACAAAATCGGTGCCTCCTTATTGATATGGCAGTCCCTGCTGACTGCAATATATCTTTGAAGATATTCAAAAAGTTGTCAAAATACAAGGACCTTGAAATAGATATCTCGAAAATGTGGCATATGGGAACATCAACAATCCCTGTTGTAGTTGGAGCCCTAAGACTGGTTGGAAAAGATTGCAGTAGACTAATTGAAGGGATTCCTGGAAGTCCATGCCTCAAGGAGATGCAAAAAATTGTTCTGACAAGTACAGCCCACACTTTACGAAGGGCTTTATCGATGTAATTTTTTTTTCTATTTTTTTTTTTTTTTGTCAGTGGAAAGTGTCATGATGCCATTTCTAATCTTAGGTCCCTGGGCGGGACCCGGAAAGAAATGTGTAAACGCCAGAAATCAAAGAAAATATAAATAATAATAATAAAATAATAATAATAATAATAATAATAATAATAATAATGAAAACATTGGTTCCGTTTCCATGACTGAAGTCAATTAACAGCTACCTGGTCAGTACTTGGATGAGTAACCACCTGAGAATATCAAGTTCCGTAAATTTAAATCGGTTAGATAGAAATTGTCAGCTTGGTGGTACAGT